TCATCCCGTCTCCATTTGATGTCAATCCAAACATACCATTGGCCATTTAGTTTAGAAAAAATGCAATATGCTTGTGCACATACACCAGTTACTTCGTGTACAGTAAAGGAATGGGGAAGGGGAAATGAAAGAGAGAGAAAACTACACTGTAGTAATCAGGATGTGGGGAAACCAGACTGCAGTTTTCTCATTGAGAATGTACTCTTGGTCTGAAAGAGCAGAGTGCTGGAGTAGAGGAGCAGGTTCCCCTTTTAGTAGACACCTCCTGCCTGCTGTTGGACACATCCATGGCTCCCTCATCCCCCATCTCCACACACTGTACGGGTGTGTCTGTTTCGTTGACCAGCTGCCCATCAAATTGGAGTCTGATCTGCCTCATTGACAAGCCCTGTCGTTCTCCATAGGCTTTCATTCATTTACTGAGTGGTGTGCGACTCTTGATCTTGAATTGCACCTCAGAACCATCCTGCCCCCCACCTTCACAGTAATATGATTGTTCTCAGTCTTGACTCCTTCCTTGGGCTCTTTGTCGGCCATGGCGAGTCTCGGAGTCTCCTCAGCTGCCACTTCACAAGAGTTACAAGGTCCTCACCAACCGAGCACACGGGCAGCACCAGGAGCGGCAGAAGCCAGTTTATTTCCAAAATAGAAACAAAAACTATAGGCTGACAAAGATGCCAGCAATATTCCTAGCACATTGTCCAGTATATTGGCTCTCAGAGTTCTGTCAAATGCTTGTTTCATGTTCTTTTAGCTTTCCAAAGCATTATATAAAATGATAAGTGTAATGCATAGTTCTTGCGTGATGATCCGTCTTGACTAGTGGCAAGTTTAAATTCTAGTAGGTTATTGGGAGAGTCATGATGTATTTTTCTATGCAAAAATGTGTCAAGACTTTCCCGATAACCTAATGGATTATTATCTTTTTAAACTGTAAAACATGCTTAACTATTTTGGATTTATACTTATAACAAGATAAATGTGACAAAGATCCTCTTTTTTCTGTCGAAAATGTGTTTTTACACCAAATCTCTATAATAATAATGAAAATGGTTGATAAAGGGAATGAAAATATCCCCAAATATGTCTATTGCTTAATGTCCTTTGAATTGGATTATTGTGGCTTTGAATTTTTTGGTTTTGCTTTTATGTGGCCCAAAGCTGAAGCAATATTTTGTTACTTCCTCAGACATGATTTGACTTCAGAGATTGATTACTTTTTTTCCTCTTTGTTGTACTAATTACATAGTTACATTAAGGGATGCAACTTCTTTTACTTACAAGTATCTCTCTCTCTGTATATACACATATATATGCATTTCTTTTAGTTTTTGCTATTGGGTACATGTGCTCACTGGACAGAAAAAGTGAGAAATCCCCCTCAGGGGGCATGACCATGCTGCAATCCCTTCTCTTCCATTCTCCTCTTAGGCTTTCAAGCACGTACACACATGTGGTCAACATGATTTCAAGCTGCTGGGTCTAGGACTCGAACCATGAATTCAGCCATGTGGGATTCAGTTGCCTTAACTACCATTCCACCAGCTGACCTGGAGTAGATGTATTTTCGTAACTGAATAGTAGTGTATACATAATTTTATATCCTGACGATCTTCCTCAATATTGCTTGAAGTTGAGTAGAATACTGGTTTGTTTAAATGTTAATATGATAGTGTTGAAGATCACACAGCTTTGTGAATGTACTAAAAACTATTCGGTGGTACACCTGAGGTGATTGAAGTAGGTGGTATGTGAATTATATCTCAATAAAACCTGAGCAGTAAGTCAATATGAAGAAACAGCTTTAAATTACAGCCTCTGGTTTTAGACAAACACAGACTTGTGGTGTGGTTTTGCTATTTAGCAGGTCACTACATTTCTTTCCTTTTTTTAGAGGGATTTTTTTGCTATAAGGCGTATGTGCTCACCAGAGAGAGAGAGAAAGTGAAAAAATCACCCTTCAGGGAGGATGACCATGCTGCAATCCCTTCTCCTCAAGTTTCTTCTTGGGATTTTGGGCGCCACGCACACACACCTGGCGTGTTTCAAACTACTGGGTCCGGGACTTGAACCATGGTCGGCCACCTGAGAGTCCAGCATCTTAGTCACTACAACACCTGCTGACCTCAAGTCACGACCTTTCTGAACTGTAAAAAATGAACAGTCTGGAGACCAGCATATGGTTTAGTGGTTACATCTCTGGACTCCCACATGACCAACTGTGATTTGAGTCCTGAGAGAGAGAGAAAGAGTGAGAAAGCAAGCTGCCAGGTCCAGGACTTAAACCATGGTTGACCATGTGGGAGTTCAGTGCCCCAACCAGTATGCCCCCTGCTGGCCCATTGGCTGCATTTCAAAGTCAGTTCTAGACATTAGTTCACTTTTAAACACTCCAGTATACAGCTTCTAAGTAGAGACCACTATGATTTTTAAAGATAAAATTTACATACAACAAAATGCCCGACCATTTGATAAGTTTTGACAAATTCATACGCTTGCATAACCCGAAACCTTCATTAAGATATTATCAATTTTGGGACCGGCAGATGACACAATGTTTATATTGCTGGACTCCCAAGTCCCTGACGTGGTGGCTTAAAACTCGTGCCGGGCACACACCTGCCCAAAAATCCCAAGGGGAGATTGCACCCTGGGGGTGCAATCTCTTCTTACTTTCTTAAATTTCTTACTTTTTGTTTTTCTGTCTCTCTGGCAAGTGCACGTGCCCTATATTGCAAAAATCTCTCTTAAAAAAAAGTGTCATCGATCTTGAAAGTTCCACCTCCCCACACAATCCTTGTCCCCATCCCCTAGAGGTAATTGCTATTCTGATTTTTGTCTACTGCAGATGAACTTTGCCATTCTAGAACTTGATGTAAAAGGAAATGCCAAGCGTGTGCTCATTAGTATAAAGCTTCCCTCATTCAATAGAATGACTTGGAGACTTATCTGTGTTGGTTTATTCCCTTTTAGTGCTGAGTAGGATTCCCTTTTATAAGAATAGTACCATTAAAAAAATAATTTTTCTGTTTGAAGGACATTCGAGATGGTTCCAGTTTTGGGCTACTGTGAATACATTCTCTGCAAACACGATCGTTTTGAGGGTGGAAGTTTTCTCAGGGAAGTGCCTGGGAGTGGCATTGCTAGGTCACAGAGGAGATCTACGCCTTAGATTCTGTTGATAGAGGAAGCAATTTCACTTTTCTACATAGGCTTTTCCGTGGCTGTTATCGGTACTGATTTATCGGCTGAGTAAATCTCTGGTTCTTTCGTGAGCAAATGTGAAAATACATTCTTCATATTTCTCCTCCCCTCCTCCCAGAAATTAGATTGCTAAAGAATAGGGATTTTTCTGGAATGGCGTGTTTATAAATTTCTGGCTAGAGTAGCGTGTAGGTGAGTTCAATTGTGTCCTGTTTTCTGAGTGTACTCCTGGCACGCGTGTATGCACACACAGGTCACACCTACTCCCCCCGGAGTCAGTAATCCTCATCTGATATCCACTCGCATGGTTTAAGCACACCATTTCGGGTTGGGGGCTCAGGTGGCTGTTGCTCCTATTTTTTAGTGTATAGTTAACATTGGCAGTCACCCTTATAATGATGTGACACCAGCTACCCCCAGTCCATTGAGCAAGCCAGGCCTAGCACCACAGAACGTGATTTAATTGGCAACAGTGTTTGCCCTCGGAAGGAAAACGGGACCTCTTTGGCTTTGTGTTCCCGCTTCGTGATGGAACAACACAAATGTGTTTTTAAACTCTTGGAATGACATCATTTCCACTTCGGAATTCACGTGCTGGGATCCAGTACCTAAGTAACTGTTTAGCAACCGTATTCTTCCACGCGATTAAAGGAACGTTTGCAGCTCGCAGTTACAGCCTTGTCAACCCAAGATGTGATTAAATCAATGGGATGTTGAAGACTTAAGGCTCACGGTTAACACAGGGTAATTAAAAGTAAGCACTGCAGTGGGAGTGCATTATATATCAGCTGTCCTCTGTACCTCATTAACTAGGCTTTTCATGTTTATGGAGCTGACTTCAATTAAAAATGCCTTTTAAGGTATTCCTAACAAGGTCTTCCAGTTACTCTTCTGGTAGAAAGTAGCATACTTTAATTGAAATTGGTATATCGCAAATTCGTACCTGTGTTTAAGTGATAATACACAAGAAGAATTTTGATTATTTGATTTTTTTTCATCCAGTTTTTAGATCTATGCTTTGCTTTTCTATTTAATATTGTCATAGGGAAAGCGGATGTATACATGTTAGGTACTAGTTTCTATCTGCACTTCTTTTACCTTACACATTTGTAAGGTTTCATGGTGTCAAATTAGCAATGCTTTAAATTATTTTTAAAAAAATGTTGAGTTTTCTGCTTCCATTCTGAGTTTAAGAAGAAGTTTATTACTGGGACCAGCAGATGGTGTAATGGTTACGTCACTGGACTCCCACGTAGTCAGTCGACTGTGGTTTGAGTTCTGGACCTGGAGACTTAAAACTCACGCCTGGTGAGTGTGCATGCATGCCTAAATTCCAAGAGGAGAACAGAGGAGAAGGGATTGCAGTGTGGCCATCCCCCCTGCGGGGTGATTTCTCACTTTCTGTCTCTCTGGCAAGTGTATGCACCCTACAGCAAAAATCTCTCTCTCTCAAAAAAGAAGTTAATTGCTTTTCCACTTGGATGACCAAGTTCCTCTTTATATAATTTTGATTGTACTTTACTTGTTAGATAGAGATTATCCTAAATTTAAAAAAAACACTTATGAGGTAAATGGAAATTTAAGCGTTAAGATGAATTCTTCTATCTCATAAACCATTGTCTTGGTTCTAAAGTATTGAAACGCCAATAAATACAAACAACAATGTTGGGAGAAAATTCTAAATTGTTCATCAAAATAGAGACGATGAATAAAATTAGAAGTTAGCTGCCTACTTTTTATTTTCAAATTCACGTGGTCGTCTGTTTTTTAAAATCTGTTTCCTTTCTTTTTTCCAGAAGTGTCGTCATTGCTACAAAAAAATCAGCGGTCCTACCTTCCACACCGACGACAAGTATTCCTACGAATGCCGTCAGTGTGGTGTCTTCCGTAGATTCTGCCCAAGCCTCAGATGTGGGAGGAGAATCACCAGGTGCGTTCCTTACCAGTAATTTCAACAGGAAAGTCTTGGATCCCATTTCAGCAAAGCTGAGGACTTTTACTCAACTGCAGACTTTTTTTTTTTTTTTTTTTTTTTTGCTATAGGGCGCGTGCGCTCGCCAGACAGAGAGAGAGAGAGAGATAGAAAGCGAGAAATCACCCCCCAGGGGGGATGGCCACGCCGCAATCCCTTCTCCTCCATTCTCCTCTCGGGATCTTGGGCACGCACGCACACGCACCCAGCGTGAGTTTTAAGCCACTGGGTCCGGGACTCGAACCGCGGTTGACTACGTGGGAGTCCAGCGACATAGCCATTATGCTAACTGCTGGTCCCTCAACTGCAGACTTTTTTTAGGCATGTTAAAAACCATTATGCTTTTATGCGCTACTGTTCAGTGTTTTCTAATTTCTTGAATACCTGTGACTAAAATTAAGTCAAGGATTTCAATATTTTCACCACTCAGACCCAGTAGTATGATGGGTTAGATGCTGCTAGGTCGGGGGATGAATATTTGAATGAATGATATGTTTGGAAAAGTACTTTATCTGTTTTTTCTGTCCTGGTACTCACGAGGTACGTATAGATCGCAGTTTACAGAGGAATGCTTTGGTGGCATGTAGACTTTTTACCAGGTGATTGATTGTCAACTTCTATTTAGCAATCATGACTTTGGCTTTTTAGCATATTTTTCTGACTTCAAAGCTCAGAAAGAGAATGCTGCTCCGAAGTATAGCATGTTTCTAGCACTAGTCACCCTGGGTCAGAAATTCATACGTAATTTTGTTTTTGCCCATTTCTTCTTCTCCATTCCTTCCACATAAAAAAGCATCTATTTGGGTGCAAGATATGTCATAGTAATTTTTTTTTTTTGGAGAGGTTTTTGCCATAGGGTGCGTGTGCTCGCCAGACAGACAGAGAGAGACAGAAAGACAGAAAGTGAGAAATCACCCCCCCCGGGGGGGGGGATGGCCATCCCGCAATCCCTTCTCCTCCATTCTCCTCTCGGGATCTTGGGCACGCATGCACATGCACCCGGCGTGAGTTTTAAGCCACTGGTTCGGGATGCGAACCGTGGTTGACTACGTGGCAGTCCAGCAACATAGCCATTATGCTAACTGCTGGTCCCATGTCATAGTACTTTTTCAGATGTTATGTTGTTTCATAAAAGGAATCATCACAAAACAATGTACTTCCAAAAGGACTCATCTTGTGACTCTAGAATGAGAGTAATGAAAAATAAAGGAATTTTGGTTACATAGTTTAAGATTAGAAATGTTTTTCTTTTTTTTATATTACATTTAATCACATATATCTTTAATAGTGTATAACATTTCTTTTCTTTTAAGAATTATTTATCTAGGGACCAGCATTTGATGTAATGGCTGTATCACTGGACTCTCATGTGGTCAACCATGTTTCAAGTCCTGGACCCGGTGGCTTAAACTCATGCTGGGCACATGTGTGTGTGTGTGCTTAAAATCCCGAGAGGAGAATGAAGGAGAAGGGATTGCGGCGTGGCCATCCCTCCTGGGGAGTGATTTCTCGTTTTCTGTCTCTCTGTCTCTCTCTGTCTTTCTGGCAAGTGCATGCACCCTATAGCAAAAATGTCTCTCAAAAAAGAGGTATTATTTATCTCTTTAATTTCATTCATTATTATTATTGTTGTTGTTGTTATTTTAATTTAACTAGAAAGAGAGAAAGGGA